TAAGAGTTATAGTGGAAAAGTGGATGACCAAACTATGGTACATACACATAATGGAATGCTATGCAGCACTAAAGAATAATGTAGAGTCTGCAAAACATCACATAATATGGATGAACTTGGAGGACATTATGTTGAGTGACGTAAGTCAATCACAGACTTCTTGTGGAGGGTGGTCAAGGAAAGGTTTAAATATGGAGGGAAACTTTCTTTGTTGACTGCCAGAGGTGGGAGGGGAGGAGAGGGAACACTGCAAAAACAAAAAACAAAAAACAAAAAAACACATTGACCCATGTCACTTTAGTTTTGTGTATTTCACTGTACATAAATTATATTTCAATAAAGTGTATTTTAAAAAAATTAACTTTTTAAAAATGGATGATAACAGTATTTTTCAAATTTCATTATACAATATTGACATTCCCACCCTACTTAGAATTAGAGATCAGATGTTCACCAAGGAAGGAGTTCATCAGAAAACCACTCTGTTCTTTCAGCAACCACAGACGTTTTATCTTAAGTTACCTTCAGTTGGATTTCTGTGGGAGTAGGTGCCAAGAAGGGTGGCTGCCCCACCAGCATCTCGAAGAGAATCACTCCGACGCTCCACCAGTCACAGAGCTGAGTGTATCCTGCAAGACAGACACTCAAGCCATGACAACTCAGGGACAAATTTGATGGGATAAAAAACACTTATTTACTGTGAAGTGGAAAAGCAGGTTAAAGTATCACAGGTATTACATTATGTCCAGAAAAAAAAACAGATCTACATAAAAATGACCATTCTGTGCGTGGGGCTTCGAGGAGAGGGCTAGAAAGGACATAAACCAAGGTGTTAGCAGTGTTCACATAGATGGGCCTATGGCCACTTTTTTTCTTATTTTAGGTCATTAGTTGTGAAAAGTCAGGTGAAGCCAGTCATGGAGGGCTCCTGGATAGGACCGCTAAGCCATTTTAGAAGAACTGGAAGACTATGGATTGCCGGACACACCCAAAAACCAACCCCACTGCCATCAAGTTGATTCCAACTTATAGCAACCCCCATTGTGTTTCCAAGGCAGTAAACCTTTACAGAAGCAGAATGCCCCATCTTCCTTGTGTGGAGCAGCTGATAGGTTTGAATCCCCAACCTTCTGGTTAGCAATCAAATGCCTTAGGCACAAGGCCACCAGAGGACTGGAAGACAGGAGGGCTTTTTAGCAAAAGAAACACCTGGACCAACTCCCTTCAACCTAAAACAGATGCTTTGTGCCAGGCATTAAGACCAGGCCTTTCCTCAAAGAGCTCCCTGCCAGCAGCAGCTGGGGCTGATCGTCAGGGAGGCTGCCAAGGTGATTCACTCGTCTTTGGTTTTCTCCCACTTTTCTGTCAGAGTCCCACATCCCAGTACCAACCATTTCTCAATATTGATGTTGCCCACTCCTTGCTTGGGTATGAGCTGGCACTTACGATGTGCCAGGCTTGCTTCTTCAGAGCCCCTTGTTCTTCCTCTGTACCATCTCATCCTCCCCAGTCTGGCACTTGAGGCCACAGAACCACTCCAGCTTCTCCCAACCTCAGTTCCTCTGGCTGCTATACGCCAGCCAGTGGAGCTGGCGGGGGTGCTGCGGGGCCAAGGGCTGCTCTCAGCGCAACTCCTCCCATATGCCCCTGGGAGAGGAGGGAAAGAGACATTTATTGGGGCCCAAAGTCAATATTCACAGCCCTCTTTCAAGGTAGTTATTATTACAGATGAGAAGTAATGTGCCTCTGAGTGGTTAAGTAACTTACCTTGGATTATCATAGCTAATAAAACCTAGACCTGAACCCAGGTCTGGCTTGAAGCAATGCATATAAAAGGAGAGGCTGCCAGCTACCTGGAGGGAGAAACTAGTTGGATCTGTGGCCTCAGGACCATGGTTGCAGGGGACATCAAGTTCAATTGGCACAATATCCTACACAAAAACACTGTTCCACACCCTACTTTGGCAAGTAGCGACTGACATCTTAAAAGCTTGCATACAGCCATCTAGATGCAATGATGGGTTTCTCCTCATCCAGAGGCACTTGACTGATAGCCAGAAGGCTGGTAGTTCAAACCCACCAGCCACTTCTCGGAAGAAAGGTTGGGCAATCTACTTCCACAGTGATACTGCCTCAGAAACCCAAGGAGGGGTCGCAATGAGTTGGGGCCGACTTGACGACACATAACAACAACAACAACAGAGCAAAGAAGAAAGAAAGAAAACCAAAGATGCATGGAAATAATTAGTCCAAGGGACTGGCATACCATGCAATCCTCAGCCTAGATGACTATGAGAGACAGTGGTGCCCAGCTACCACTGTCAACCACTTGGAGGGGAATCTATGTATCTACGTAGCAGATCCTGGATAGAGTGAGAGAAAAATGTGGAGCAAAACTCAAAATCATAAAAAAAAAAAAAAAAAAGGGACCAGGTTTGCTGGTCTGATAGAGCCTGGTCAAACCCCTGAGACTGTGGCCCCTAGCTGTCCTTCAGGTCTGGAACTGGACCCACTTCTGTGGCTTCCAGCCAAATAAAAGATAGACATATGAGCTGAACATTTACATTAGGTAGATACACTGCTTGGAGAAATCAATCATGGGAGAATAGAAGGGCTGTGCATGCACAGGGAGACAGCTCAGGGGCAGGAGTGCACGGGAGGGAAGGACACAGGGAAGAGGTAACTATGGAGAGGAAGTGGGAAGACAGCTGTTGCACTGTGGGAAACTGCAGTCAATATCATGAGACAAACTGTATGTGGACTGCTGTATGGAAAATGAATTGTTCTGTAAACTTTCACTCAAATCACAATAAAAAAAAAAAAAGGAAAGGCTGCCTATTTCTGGATTTATTCCCTAGAGTCAGTTTGGCAAACCACTGTGGCTCTGGGCCATGCACCCCATCATTGAGCCAGACGTCCCATGGGACAGAATGGAGCAGCCACCAGGAGACAAACTCTACTGCACACAAGTAATGTCATGCACAAGACCGTGTACAAATCTTACCCTCAGAGTGCTTCTGGTCTAGCAGGAGAGAAATGGAGGAAGCAGTATTTGTTTTGTGTCATACTCAGTAACCAGTTTGAGAAGATACAATTGAGCCAGAAGCCCAGGCAAAGAAGAGTTAGCCTGGAGCCTGAAACTGAATCGTTTAGGCCAACTGACCTGAAAGTGTTTCTATCATGTAATTGTTCCCCAAGTCAAACCCAGCTCTACCTGGGTCCCAGGCAGAAAGCCTTTGCGCCGTGGAGAACCCACTGTCTCATGAGGAAAGGTCGCACCACTGTCCATAGTCAACAGCAAGTATCCTATCAATTCCAAGCCAACATGGAGATTTGTTTGTTAATAACTGAGAACCCAAGCCATGGTATTTTCAATCACCTCATATGCATGTGAAAGCTGGACAGTGAATAAGGAAAACCATAGAAAAGTTGGTATTTTTGAGTTGTGGTGTTGGCGAAGAATATTGAAAGTGCCATGGACTGCCAGAATAATGAACAAATCTGTCCCAGAGAAGTGAATGCTCCTTGGAAGCGAGAATGGCCAGACTTTGTCTCATCTACTTTGGTCATGTTGTCAGAAGGGACCACTCCCTGGAGAAGGGTATCATGGTTAGAAAGTGGAGTGTCGATGAAAAAAGGGGAAGGCCCTCAACGAGATGCATTGACATAGTGACTGCAATGATGGCCTCAGGTACAGCAAGGATTGTTGAGTCTGGCACAGAACTGGGCAGTGTTTTGTTCTGTTGTACAGAGGGTCCCTAGGAGTCGGAGCTGGCTCAACAGCACCTAACAACAACAACTGAGTCCTGAGGCTTCTTTGGATACAAAGATGTGATTTGATGGCTAGAGCCTCAGCTAAAGCTGGGGAGGACCTCAGAGGTCACCTGGCTCCACGGGTGGGTTTGAGGTTAAAGACTCTTGCTGCTTGGGCAGTGGGCCTGTGAGTGCTCAAAGCAAGAGACTGCGAGCACGTACCTTTGCGAAGGAGCACTTCTGGGGCGATGTAATTCGGAGTCCCCACCAGGGAGTGTGCCAGACACCTCTGGTGCTGCTTCCGTGCCCTCTGCTCCAGCGTCTTCAGACGGTCTCCGCAGCGACAGTTAGACACATCATCCCAGAGGTCGCCGGGCTCCATGCTGTCCTGCCGCACGTGGTTTCCTTCCCCCCGGAATCAGGGTGATGAGAGGAGAGAGTGAACAGGAAGTCTTCACTACCTAACCATGCCGCCAACCCACAACTTAGAGCGGAAAGGTAACTCAAACAGAGAGAGGAGCTTCCTCAACTGTCCCCACAGGCACCTGTTCTTCCTGGGGCCTAAGACGCCAGCACCAGGGTAAGAACAAGGGTCAAAGCAACAAGCGGACAAAAAAAAAGGCGAAGCTACCTGCAGGGACATCACTCTTTACAACTGCCAGGCTGGTATCAACATATCTTAGGTATCTGTTTGCCACGTTTTAAGGAAAGCATGGGAAAACTTCAGAGGATTTATAAAATATGAACAAAAATAACTTAAATGTCATAAAGTGGGAATAAAGAAGAGTTAAAGGATTTTGGATGAGTTTTGAGTTAAAAATAAAAGCCTGGGCTATGGTATTAAAACAGCTATTTCAAGAATCTGAGCAATACAGTCAGTAACGACCAGCTGTTCCAGCAGACCTCCAGGAAGTGGGGTTACATTACACTTTGAGATAGATTCAGGTTAGACATGGGGGATTCTTAATAGGAAAAGAGAGTGAACATGGAAACATGCTCCAATGGCAGGGCAAGGAATTTTACTTTTCTTAGGCTCTGGTCTACAAGGCAGAGTGGTTCCCCATAAAGGCCCTGTGATACCCCATAGTCTGTTGTCCTAAAAATATTATAATATTATAATGTGAATTATATCCACAAACTTAAAAAAAAAAGAAAGAAAATCTGACACACTTCATACTATTCCTTTAGGGAAAAGAGGATCACACACCAAATTAAAAAAAGATGGAATGACAGATTAGTTCAACATGATCAGATACCCCCCTCCCTCGACAGGGAAATCTCTGTCTTGGGCAGTTCTGTTACATCTCAATACAGAGAGCAGATGGAATGACAGTAACATGTGTTAAGACAATACCTTTCTGGTAGTATTTGGAATTGTGAGTCCACCGGAATCCTGTGCAGAGGCCAAAGTCTGTCAGCTTGATGTGGCCATCAAGATCAATGAGAATGTTGTCCGGCTTGATGTCACGGTGGATGAAGCCCATCTTGTGCACACTCTCGATGGCCAGCGTCAGCTCTGCGATGTAGAAGCGGGCCAGTGGCTCAGGGAAGACCTCCATCCGGATCAGCAGGCTCATCATGTCCCCCCCGGGGATGTAGTCCATCACAAAGTACAGGCTGTCCTTGTCCTGGAAGGAGTAGTAGAGCTTCACCACCCACTCGTTGTCCGCCTCGGCTAGGATGTCCCTCTCCGCTTTGACGTGGGCCACCTGGTTCCGATTTAGGACGTCCTTCTTCCTCAGTGTCTTCATGGCATACAGTGCATGTGTGTCCACCTTACAAGCGAGGCACACCTCCCCGAAGGCACCGATGCCCAGGGTTTTGATTTTTACAAACATGGACTTGTCCATCTTGGCCCTCTTCAGCCTGTTGTAGTTGGACTCTTTCTGGTATAAGATCTTCCTCATTTGCTCCTGCTCAGCTTCACAGAGGCCAGCCTTGGTGGGAGAAAAATAAGGAGGAAGAGTCACATTGGAGCAGTCCCATGACAGACATGAATTAGGAGACCCTGACTTAACAGGTGTGAGAATACAGAGAGATGGGGCCCCAAGACTATGTGCAAGGTTCTGCTCTTTCTATCAACATATGGATGCCCATCTGGAACCCATAGGTAATATAAAACCAGTTGTTTCTCAAGGTGACTTTAGGCTCTAAAATGAAGGAAAATAGATGAATAAAATAAGATTAATAAATATGTTAATAAAAATCTCTGGAGAAGGGGGACACAAACTTCCTGGAACTCTAAAAGCACATGAATATTTCAATAGCTCTGGTAACATGGGAAAAAAGGAAAGAAAAAAGTCAACGAAAATGGACAGTAGGAAGCAAGAGCACAAATGTGACTTTTAGAGTCTGAAATTACAGGCTCTGTGTGGTGTAATTTTATCATTACATTTTAATTTAAATGATTTCATTAACAAAGACCTTCTCCAGCCAGCAAAGGTGTACTTACAACATTATTCACTCAATAATGACTTAAAGGAAGACTAATGGATCACCACTAGATGTGTTTTTCTTTAAAAATTCCACAATCCCAATTTATAAACTCTTTGTTTTTGCTCTATCAAAATGCTACATCATTAGTTAGTAATCCTTGATGAATTCTGTTAAACATTTAACCATTACATAATGGTTAAATGTTACGTGTCAACTTGGCTAGGCTATGATTCTCATTGGTTTGGCAGACACTATGTAATCAACTTCCATGATTTGATCTGAACTGAGCCACCAATCAGTTGGAAAGGTGTTTCCTTGGGGGTGTGGTCTGCCTCCAGTATCTAGACTATCGCCCTGGGAGATGGATGTTCTGGCAAAGCTTGCCTTCAAATTTCTCAACCCAGCATTCTTCTTGTTACCTGACTTCAGGTTCTTGGGATAAAAGCCAGCGGAGGCCTCCAGCCTGCTGTCTGACCTGCAGATTTTGGGTTCATCAGCTCTTGCAACCATTGTCAGCCAGCACAGGCTATTGCCTGACCCAAGGATTTGGGACTTGCCAGTTCCCACAATTGCGTGAACCATTTCCTCAAAATTGTGTGAGCCATTTCCTTGAAGTAAATGTCTCTCTCTATGGGAGCTCTGGTAGCATAGTGCCTAAGGCACTTGACTGCTAACCAAGAGGCTGGCGGTTCAAACCCACCAGCCACTCCTCGGAAGGAAGGTTGGGCATTCCGACTTCCATATTGATATCTGCCTCAGAAATCCAAGGAGGGGTCGCTAGGAGTCAGGGCCGACTCGATGGCAAATAACAACAACAACAAATGTCTCTCTCTATGTATCACCAGGAGCAGCTCAGGTGACACAGTGCCTAAGGCATCTGACTGCTAACCAGAAGGCTGGCAGTTCAAACCCACCAGCCACTCCTCAGAAGGAAGACTGGGCAATCTACTTAAGTAGAGATACTGTCTTAGAAACCCAAAGAAGGGTCACCATGAGTTGGAACCGACTCTACCACAGTGAGTTTTGTTTTTTTTTTTTGCTTATATGTCTCTACTTAAAAAACCTCTTCCAAATGCTGAAGAGCAAAGATGTCTCCTTGAGGACTAAGGTGCACCTGACACAAGCCATGGTGTTTTCAATCGCTTCATATGCATACGAAGGCTGGACAATGAATAAGGAAGACCAAAGTAGAGTTGATGTGCTTGATTGTGGTGCTGGCAAAGAATGCTGAAAATACCACGGACTGCTAAAAGAACTAACAAATCTGTCCCGAAGAAGTGCAGCCAGAATGCTCCTTCGAAGCGAGAATGGCCAGACTTTGTCTCACCTACTTTGGTCATGTTGTAAGATGGGACCATTCCCTGGAGAAGGATATCACACTTGGTAAAGTGGAGGGTCAATGAAAGAGGGGAAGGCTCTCAACAAGATGGATTGACACAGAGGCTACAATGATTGGCTCATGTATAGCCGGGATTGTGGAGCTGGCTCAGGACTAGGCAGTGTTTTGTTCTGCTGTGCACAGGGTCACTGTGAGTCAGAGACGACTTGACGACACCTAACAACAGCATACACTTCTAGTTTTGTTCCTCTAAAGAACCCAGACCGAGACACACCATGAAAATCAATTTGTTGATTTACCTGTTAGCAAAACAAAACTACAGGATGTGGGAATGGCTTTCACCAACTCTCCTAGGAGAGTCAGGGTGAAAGGGGAGACCGAGGTTGTTTAGTTAATTATGTGCACCCTTTGTAACTTCTCCAAGCTGTTCCCATCTTAATCAGACTACTGCCCTGGGAGATGAGATTGTGATAAAGATGTAAAAAGTAGACACAAAAACCAGGTTCTGCTGTGGCCCATGTTACCAGTTAAAGAACGAGCACAGGTTGAGTGGAAGGCATGCAATGAGAAATTACTTTGGCCATTTCCTGTTCCAGCTGCAGCCTGCGGTTGACTTTCTGCTGGTAGGTTTTTATGACATTCTCTATGTGCTGCTCCATGAAGAACTTAAAGGCATATGGCGAGTAGCTCTTGATGCGCGACTCTCTCTTCTCTTCATCTCGGCTATTTTTCCGAACAGGAACGGGGGAAGTCTGGATTTGCTTTTTGTCCTTCCCTGCTTTCTCCCCTTTGGCGCTCTTGTGGCCCTTGTCACTCCTCTCAGTGGGCTCGGCAGCCTGGCCTGCTCGGAGGCCCTGCTCCAGCCCCGCACAAAGGCTGTCCACGTCGTACTGCTCCGATTTACTCTGTAGCAACAGGTGCTTCGGGTACGGCGGGGGTGGGCAGCGCATCTCTGGGCTGCCATATTCCACGTCCAGTGGGTATGCACTCGTGCCCCCCAAGGGCAGAGAGGGCTCATCCTTGGGGTCCAGGCCCTCCACAGCTGGGCTGGGTGCCGGCATCCAGGCAGGGTGGGAGGGCCCCACGGCCGTCTGGGGCTCGGGCCTCAGCACCCTCACGCTTTTCACTGGGTGCAGGATGTGGGCAGACGTGACGGCCGTGATGGTGTTGGGAGAGGGCATGGAAGGCTCGGCTTTGCTGGGGGCTCCCGCCCTGATGGGTCCCGCCACCTGCTGCTGGTGGTTGTTGAAGGAGCTGGTTCTGCTGGGGACAGAACTGTCGGGCCGGAAGGGCACATGCTGGTGGGGGGGTGCCTCGAGGCCGGGCTTCTGAAGAGAGTCCCGGCGTGACAGAGTGGTGGACGGCATACACATGTTCATCTCATACAAGTCCATGTTCAGGCTGTTCCTTGATGGGGTGAGCAGATTCTGGGGGGGGCTGTCGCCCGCAAACACCTGCACTCGAGAGCCCATTGAGTGCATCTGGTGGGAGGAGGGGCTGGTCTGCTTATGGTGTGGGTATTGCAGGTACAGCCCGGCCACCAAGCCTGAGGTCGGAAACCCGAGGCTGGCATTGGGCTGGGCCGCCTGGCCCTTCGCAGGAAGGTTTGCATATCCTGCTGCCTCTGGTGGCCCCTTGTTTTGGAAGGAGGGGCTGCGCTGGAGGCCATAGACCAGCGGCTCCCCCTGGACCATCAGATGTGGGCGGCCGTAGTGCGGGCCGTTGGGGCTGTGGGGGCCTGGGAGCTGCAGGGCTGGCCCCCCTTGGTTAGTGACAGGGAAACTCAGCACTGGGGCCTCCATGTTTGCACAGTACCCTTTGGGTGGGTGCTGATGACCACCAGGCAGGCCGTGGGTGCCGGCTCCTGCAGCAGGCCTCTGTCCAGAGAACATGTAGTCCATGTACTGGTGTGGCACTTCTTTCAGTATGGTTGGTCCCTCTGCCCCAAAGCTGGGTCCTTCATAGGTTGCCCCGCTCATCTGGTGGTACGAAGGGAAGGAGTCACCCGTTCCTTCAAAGCTTGGCCTCCGGGCCATGCTGACTGGCATCATGCCCTTCCCTGTAGGGGAAGAAGGGAGAGACCCGTTAGAAGAGGTGTGGCCCAGACACTAGCACATCCTTGGGCTGAGTCTGTGCCACAAGCTCCTTCTAAGGTCCTATGACGGGGCATCAGTGGGGAGCATGTGCTGGGGCCAGACCTGGGGCCTCTGTTTGACCAAAGGACTGGTCACTGCTGGCACGAGGAAGGAGCCTGAAGGTCAGAGGGCACATGAAGGGCCAAGGGTGAACACAGTCAGCAGCAAGGGCCCCCTCTTTCTGGGGGAGCACCCCTCCACTTCTGAAGGTGTAGCACCACCCTGAATAAACGACGCCCACTCACTGCCCTCCAAGGCACTGGACAATAAACTTCATTTCCTTCACGATATGCTCAAGTCGTTTGGGACTACTGAAGCTCACTGTCACACACATTTCCCAAAGTCTGCGTTTTCCTAACTTAAGGAGCAGAATCTGATCCACTGCCCAAATGTCTACTTTCTATTCACATTGTTTCAAAAGGAAACATTTGGACTTCTGGCAAGATGGCAGAGTAGGCAGACAAGCTACACAGGCCCTCTTCAACAAAGAAACGAGAAACTAATTGAAACAGATACAGAAGGTAATAAAAAATGAACATTTTTTGGGAGTTTTTTCTTTATTAAAAATTAAATTTATTAAAATTTTATTGAAACAATTTTTTTTAATTAAAACACAAATTAAAATTCATCACAGATTGCTGTGATTTAAAATCAGAAATTGTACTGTGGGAGGAAAGGCAGACCCAGGACAGCAGTGGACAGTGTTTGGGCACCGTTTTTTTTTTTATTACAACAAAAATTAAAATTGAATTTTGTTTTTAATAAAAACAAAACGCACACAACAATAACAACAAAAAGCAACCGCACAAAATCCCTCTACCAATCACCAGATTGACCTCAGCTACTGCTTCCATAACTCTGAGGAGTTCTCTGGTTTGTCAATCTCTCCCCGTCTGCTGCCTGGAAGGAAGGGCACCAGGCTGCTTTGCTGGCTTTTGCCTCGCCCCTCCCAGAAATGCGTTGGCGGAGTGACAGCCCTCGGCAGCCCCCACATCCGCAGAATCACAGCCAGACGCACACTTTCTTTTGCCTGGGGTAAGAGAACGCATAAGGAAAAGGCAGAAGGCAATATCTGCAAAACGGGGTCTGCAGCTGGCTTTGGAGCTGTGCCATGACAGCCCCTAGGCCCCTGAGAGGTGGCTGTGTCTGGGACTACTTACAGAGAGTCCCCCATACACAACAAAAACCAAACTCCTAGCCATGGAGTGGATTCCAACTCACAGTGACCCTACAGAACAGAACAGAACTGTATCATCTTCTCCTACACAGCCACTGGTGAGTTCAAACCCCCAACCTGCTGGTTAGTAGTCAAGAGTTTACCCACTGCCCCACCAGGGCTCCTGAGAGTCCTCTAAGCAAGGATAAGACAGAAATGGGCATCCTTGCAACAGTGAGGATACAACTTACAAAGTCTGTGTGACTTCCTGCTCAAAAGTGGGTTTTATCTAAGACCATCCACAAACAGGGAAAAGCCCCTTTTTCATGAATCTTTATCGCACCCAAGGGACCTCAGATACCAATAACTGCTCTAACATGCTAAATCCTGGGGGAGAAACACCTACTGCCAGCCGTCAGTCACCTCCGTGCAGCTACCTGTTCCATCTTAGGGAGAGGGGGTATATCCATGGGAGGTGTCCCCAAAATACCCCACCACGAGAGGGCAGTGATGCTCATATCTGCGGTCTCAAGGAGGCCAGCCATTGTGGAGCCCATGTCCCCATGGTTTCAGAGGACAACACGTGGAAAGGTGTGTTTTTAGAATCGATGAAGGAAGTCTCCCTTTCCAAAGGCCCAAGAGAATGTAAGGACCAATTTGTAGCTCTCTCACTTTCCTGGGGAGCTCTGGTGGTACAGTGCCTAAGGCATCTGACTGCTAACCAGAAGGATGGTGGTTCAAACCCACAAATACTCCACGGACGTAAAGATTTATTGCCTTGGAAACCCATCAGGGGTCGCTGCCAAATTCTACATCCAGTGAATGTTGTGATCTCTTATGAAACAAAACAAGTGTGGTATGAAGTACCACAGAACGCAGTGAAATCCCCTCCCTGATGCATTGCACCACTGGCTGCTTCCCCACCTCCTCCCTCCCCAGGCCTCTTCTGCCAGCACAGGGCATGGCCTGGGTTCATGAACAAGCCCATGTTCCAGGGAAATGGTGCCCAAACACTGTGCACTGCTGGGCCAGGTCTGCCCTTTCTCCCATAGCGTGGTTTTTGATTTACATCACTGCTATCTGTACCCCCACGACAGGCACATCTAGGCTCACCTGGGGAAGTCTGCTTGATGACACGCACTATCTGCTCGTTCCTTGGGTCCAAGTAGCCCATTTTACTGATGTATTCCAGAGCGGCCTCTATGCTCCTGCTGCCTGTCTGCTTCAGCGCTCGGACCGCCATCTCCTGGGGGAAAAGCACAGACACAGTCTATCCATCTTCAGAGAAAAAAGCCGCAGACTGACTTCCACTCCTGGCTGCCTGATTTGTTAAGACAATTACAGTGAACCTCTATGTGCATCGACAGAAGGCGGTGGGTGGGTGGGGTCACAGAGCTACATGCAAGGTGCTACAGAGAACTATTAGTTAGCAAAGATGTCTGTGCTGCAGGTACCAAATGACAGCATCTAACACAGACTAAACCACAGGATGTGTAGTGTATATCAAGAATACAAAGACAGCTTGCACAGCCACTGCTTCCACCATCTTGGACAATGGTGCCCCACCTGCTGCTGCTCCTGTGGCCCTGGGGTCCTACTATTATTGGCTCTGGAGCCCCCTGTCAACCCCTCAGAGCCAGCTCTGGACCCAGCCAGTACCTGCAGTGCAGCCTACCCACCATGCACTACCAGGACAGCCTGCCCAGGTTGCCTGTTCCCAAACTTGAAGAAAACATTAGGAGATAACTTGGTGCCCGGAAGCCCCTCTTGGATGATAGCCAGTTTAGGAAAACAGAACAATTATGCAAAAGTTTTAAAAATGGGAGTGGAAAAGAACTGCATGGGTGACTGGTTGGCTCAGGACAAGAAGAATAAACATACGAGCCACATTTCAGAGCAAAGACAATTGAAAAACATCAAAGATGCAGGAAATAATTAGTCCAAAGGACTAATGGAACATGTGAACCCCAGCCTCCATGACCCTGAGACCAGAAGAACCAGATGGTGCCCAACTACCACTGTCAACTACTCAGAAAGGGATCAAAATAGGAGATCCTGGATAAGGTGGGAGAACAATGTAGAACAAAACTCAAAATCATAAAAAAGACCAGGCTTACTGGTCTGATGAAGGCTGGTGGAACCCCTGAGGCTATGGCCCTTCAACACCCTTCATGCTAGGAACTGAACTTCACCCCTGTGACTCAATTGGTAGCCAAACGATAGAAAGGCCTGTAAGGTGAACAGTAGTGTCAGGAGGGTATACACTCATTAGAACCATCAAGCATATGAGATTGGGAGGACAGCATTTGTCTAGGGTTGGAGCTAGAAAGGAGGAGGGGATGGGAAGGAAGGATGCAAGTAAGGGGTGGGTGCAGGGAGGAAGTGGGAAGAATGCTGTTACAGTGTAGGGATTGCAGTAAATGTGACAAAACAGAAAAAAGAAAAAAAACCCCAAAACCTGTTGCCATAGAGTCCATTCCAACTCACAGTGCCCGTAGAGGACAGACTGGAATTGCCCCATAGGGTTCCCAGGCTGTAATCTTTATGGAAGCCGACTGTAACACCGATCGATCTCCCATGAAGCTGCTGTTGGGTTTGAACCACAGATCTTTCAGTTAGCAGCCCAGTGCTTAACTACTGTACCACCAGGTTTCCTGAACATAATACATTTTAAAACAAATTATTTTATTTTTGCTAATACTGTTGAAAATATATACAGCAAAACACAGGCCAATTCAACAATTTCTACCTGTACAATTTGGTGGCATCAATCACATTCTTCAAGTTGTACAACAATTCCCACCCTCCTTTTCCGAATTGTTCCTGCCCAGTGGATGTAAGCTCACTGTCCCAAAGCCTCCTTAAACCTTTTCAGTTGTTGTCAAGTTGATCCTATATAGACAGTTCTTTAAGGAGCTCTGGTGGTGTGGTGGTTAAGGCATTTGGCTGCTAACCAAAAGGTTGGTGGTTTGAACCCACCAGCCACTCTGTGGAAGAAAGATGAGGCAGTCTGCTTCTGTAAAGATTTACAGCCTTGGAAATGCAATGGGGGTCGCTATGAGTTGAAATTGACTTGATGGCAGTGGGCTTTTTTTTTTAATTTTTATTGTGATTTGGGTGAAAGTTCACAGAGCAAATCATTGTCCATACAGCAGTTTGTTTCATGACATTGAGTGTAATTCCTACAATGCAACAGCTCTCTTCCCACTTTCACCCTGTAGTTACTTCTCCCCTGTTCCCAGATTCTTTCCTATGCATTCCTACCCCCTGAGCTATCTCCCTGTGCAAATACTGCCCTTCTGATCTCCCACAGTTGATAATTCTAAGGACTGTATCTGCCTGGTGTAACGTTCACCCTATATGCCTATCTATTGTTTGGCTGGAAGCCATGGGAGTGAGTTCAATTCCAGGCCTGAAGGGTAACTGGGGGCTATGAATCTCAGGGGTTTCACCAGAGACGTTGATTTTGAGTTTTGCTCCACATTGTTCTCCCACTGTATCCAGGATCTCCTGCGCTGACCCCTTTTCAAGTGGTTGACAGTGGTAGCCGGGCACCATCTAGATCTTCTGTTCTTATGACAGTGGGTTTGGTTTTGACACAGCACTCTAAAAGAGCACAATGCTCCCGGAAGACAGTCTTTACTAATTAAGCTCAACCACTATCAGGAGCTCTGGGGTGTAATGCCTAAGGCCAGAAGGCTGGTGGTTCAAACCCACCAGCCAACTCCTTGGGAGGAAGACTGGCCTATCTACTTCTGTAGAGATACCGCCTCGGAAACCCACGGAGGGGTTGCTATGAGTTCAATCGACTCGACAGCAGTGAGGTTGGTTTTTTTTTTTTGGTACTTTTACGTTTAAAGATGAGTTCAGGTGATATTTTTGGCTTAAGGTATAAAGACATTTTTATACTGGACCTAAAAGAAACATAAGTTCTGCCTCTCCTTAGAAAACTCTTAAATTCAGGTTTGTGGATAAACCTAAAACTGAAGAACTTGAATAGGAAGAATGGTGAGAGTCGGAAAAAGGGATTTCCAGCACAGCCACAGGCTGACCCTCAGAAAGGCCTCAGCTGGCCCCAGTGGCGCATCCCCAGTGGTGGAAGAGGAGCTGTGGGGTCTGCCCCTGAGGGGATGGATGGCGCAGTTGCTGAAGAGTCATCTATGAAACACTTAGCGAATGCCCACTGTTTACAGTGACCTGTGCCCAGCTGCCAACAGTAGAAGGCCTTGCCCTTAGGGACTTGGTCTAGAGGGATAAAGAACAGAGAAAAGGGCACAAAAGTAGCCCTTGGAGCAATGACCAGGTCATAACATGTCCTTTAAAATTGCTTGTTGGAGATCAACCGACGTAACATACTACACAAAAACACTGTTCTACATCCTACTATGAGTCGGGGCCGACTCGACGGCACATAACAACAACAACAACGTCCTACTTTGGTGAGAAGTGACTGGGGTCTTAAAAGCTTACAAGTGGCTAAGATGCAACAATTGGTTTCTCTTTGTCTGGAGCAAAGAAGAATGAAAAAAAAAAAAAAAACAAAAAACAAAGATGCATGGAAACAATTACTCCAAGGGAATAGTAGAGTATGCAAACCTTAGCCTGCATGACCCTGAGCCCAGAAACACTAGATGGTGCCTGGCTACCACCGTCAACCACTTAGAAAGGGATCAAAATAGGAGATCCTGGATAAGATGGAAGAACAATGTGGAACAAAACTCAAAATCATAAAAAAGACCAGGCTTATTTGTCTGATAGAGACTGTTCAACCTTCAGGACTATGGCCCCTAGTCACCCTTCTGGCCTGAAATTGAACTCACTCCCGTGGCTTCCAGCCAAACAACAGACAGGCATATAAGGTGAATATTTACACTAGGTAGGTACATTCCTTAGGAAATCAACCATGGGAGACCAGAAGGGTAGTATTTCCATAGGGAGATAGCACAGAGGGCAGGCATGCATAGCAAAGAAGGACACCAGGAAACAATAGCCACAGGGAGGAAGTGGCAAGAGAAATGTTATATTACAGGAATTGGAGTCAATGTCATGAAACAAAATGTGTATGAACTGTTGTATGGGAAATGAGTTTGCTTTGTAAACTTTTGTTGTTGTTGTTGTTGTTATGTGCCGTAGAGTCAGATCTGACTCATAGCGACCCCTCCTTGGGTTTCCAAGGCAGTATCACTATGGAAGTAGATTGCCCAACCTTCCTTCCGAGGAATGGCTGGTGGGTTTGAACCGCCAGCCTTCTGGATAGCAGTCAAGTGCCTTAGGCACTACGCTACCAGAGCTTTTACCCACATCTAAATTTAAAAACATAACAATGGTTTGGAAAAAAAAAAATTGCTTGTTGGAAGAGTGGTTAGAATCTGGTTACTGGCCTGAGAAAGGGACAAGTTAGACAAGAGTTCAGAGGAGAAAGGATTTCTTCCACTGTAGAGTGTGCCACACATGGCAGGTTGTGGTAGAGAAAGAGAGCTCCTGGCAGATGCCACGGTCAGCACAGGAACTGGGGGTGAGAACGTGGGTGTGGTGGAGGATGGGCTGGATGGCAGGGGGCATGCTGGGTAATGGAGACAAGTGAGGAGGACCCACAGGCGTGGCCAGACTGTGCATGGGTTTGGATGGCAAGTTCTGGAGGCTATGCCCCTCTTGGAGGGGAGGCAAGGATGCTTTCCAAAGGGGACATAAGGTGATTTGAAATTAACTGGGTGGCAGTTTCAGAACGCACTGAGCAGAGAGGCACAGCCAAGCCCGGGCCTCTCAAGGGGGGGTGTGAGGCATTGGCAGTGGGGCAGAGGCTGGGAGACAAGGACATGGTGCACGAGAGCCACCACGCAGCTGTGTAGGGGTGTGGGCGCCAAGGAAACATGCAGTTCAAGTAGGAGTTTAGACATGCTGAATGCAGCAGCAGGAAACGAGACTGTGAGGAAATTAAGCCAGGCTGGCTGTGACCTTCATGAACAGTTCTGCAGAGTCATAGGCAAATGGAGAGAACAAGGAGGAGAAAGAACAGCACAGAAGCCAACTTTCCTACGACCAAAAAACCGAACTCGCTGCCATCGACTTGATTCTGAGTCATAGGGACCGCCTTTGGGTTTCTGAGGCGATAAATCTTTACACAAGTAGATTGCTCAGTCTTCCTTAGGTGCAGTGGCTGGTGGGCTTGAACCACTAACCTTGTGGTTAGCAGTCAAATGCCTTAGGCACTATGCCTCCAGAGCTCCTTGGCTTCCTACAGGGTGA